AGCCCAGGCTGGCCTCGAACTCACAGAGATCCGCCTGGCTCTGCCTCCCGAGTGCTGGGATTAAAGGCGTGCGCCACCACCGCCCGGCTGTTTGTTTTTAAGACAGGGTTTCTCTGTAGCTTTGATGCCTGTCCTGGATCTCGCTCTGTAGACCAGGCTGGCCTCGAACTCACGGAGATCTTTCTGTTTCTGCCACCAGTGCTGGGATTAAAGGCTACCACCATCCAGCATGTTGTAAATTCTTTAAAAACAATTTTAGCTTTATTTTATTTTATGTATTTGAATGTCTTACCTGCATTATACATGTACACCATGTGAGTGCCAGGAGCCTCTGGAGGTCAGAAGAGGGTGTTGGAGCCCCTGGAATTGGAGTTAGATGGTTGTGAGCCACGTGGAGGCTGGGAACTGAACACAGGGACTCCGCAAGAGCAACTTCTGAGGCATTTCTCCCACCCTTGTAAACTCTTTTCAAAGTAGTGTTTTATTGTTTCTGCTCATTACTCAAAATGATTGTTTGGGGCTTGTAAATCTTTCTTTCTAATTACAACCACTTGCTTCTTTATTATCCCATTAAAATAGTAATTAGTAATACTAATTTTTTTGTTTGTTTGCTTTTGTTTTTCGAGACAGGGTTTCTCCATGTAGTTTTGGTATCTGTTTTGGATCTCGCTCTATAGACCAGGCTGGCCTCAAACTCACAGAGATCTGCCTGGCTCTGCCTCCCAAGTGCTGGGATTAAAGGCGTGCACCACCAATGGCCTGGCCTCTGGTATCGGTTTTTTAGTATGTTGTATCCTTTGGTTTACACCATCCCATTTCTTCCTCTCCCCAGCAGTCTCTTTCTCTCTCCTGTCATATATTCCACATGTGAGACCATGCAAGTCTGTCTTTCTTCCTTTGCATTAATTCACTTATGTCCTCCAGGGCTGCCCAGGTTAAATGGCAGGATCTCCTTTTAAAGCTGGGTAATATCTCATTGTGTGTATGTGGCATTTTCTGTTGCCTGTTTATCTTGGTTGGGCATTTAGAGATTTAAAGTATGGTTAGTAGTGTATTCAGGGGTTTTGTTAAATGAGTATGTTACAACTATTCTTGTCATGGGGGAGGTGGGTAATTACGTGAAGAGGTGGATGTTAATTCGTCCTGTTATTGTAACTTTTTTCTTATATATAGCATAACATCATGTGAATATTTTAAAATATGCAATAAGATTTATTTTAAAAGTTTGTGTTCTTTTAAAAATCTCTCTTTATCTCTGTGTATGTATGTGTATATGTGTGTGAGTGTGTGCTGTGCAGGGGCCCTGAACACCAGAGGAGGGCATTGGGTTCCTTGTGCTGAGTTACAGGTGTTGGTGAGCTGCCTCTCAAACCAGTGGGTCCTAGGATCCGAACTCTGGGTCTCATGATAGAGCAGCAGTGCTCTTAATGGTTGAGCCATCTTTCCATCCCCTCACGTTCTTCTTTTCTTTCTTTCTTGTCACAAAACAATAAAATTAAGTACTCCTAGTTCTTTGACCAAATAAAGTACATTTTGAATGCTCACATTTATTTATTGAGAGACAAAGGGCATATTCTAGGAGATGTCTTGATACATGTGTACACTGGGAGAGTATCATCAAGCTAATTATCATATCCATCATCACACAGTTAGCATGTATGGAGAGAATTCTTAAGGTCTACTCTCTTAGCAGATATACACTAGTATTAACTGGTCACTATGGTGGTCATTCATACCCCAGGACTTACTTACTTTGTGTTTTCCTACGTCTTCCACTTCTACCTTTGATGCTTGACTTTGACTTTCTTAGATCTCACAAGTGAGGGAGGTCATGAAGTATCATTTTGTAGCTAGCTTACTTTGCTTAGCACAATATCTTCAAGATCCATCCAGGTTGCCACAAAGGACAGAATAGTAGTCATTGTGGTGTGTGTGTGTGTGTGTGTGTGTGTGTGTGTGTGTGTGTGTGTGTGTGTGACACATTATCTACTCTGTGTAACAGCCCTGGCTGCCCCGGGCCTTGCTCTGTAGACCAGGCTGGCCTCAAACTCATGGAGACCCACCTGCCTCTGCCTCCGGAGTGCTGGGACTAAAGGTGTACATCACCATTGCACGGCTACATTACTTATTCTTGTC